ACGCCTCCTCCGCCCGCCCGCGCCCACCACACAAATCGGACGTTCTCCCCCGCTGTCGTCACTCGGCTCTCAGGGCCCGGCCAATCCGGGCTCGAGTTGGAGCGAACCCGGCCTCCGCCCCCAGCCCTTGCTCCGCCCTTCAACGGCCGCGCTCCCCATTCCCAGCGCGGGCGCGGGGTTGCGCGCTAGGCGCTTCGTTTTCCCCTGGCAGTGGGCGCCTCCGCCCTCCCAACTTACCCGCGAAAGCCGGGCACTTGGGCAGTTTGGTCTGTCACCTTGTTGCTCCGTCCCCGGGATCGTCACCTTGTTGCCCTGTCCCCGGGATCGTAGTGCACCCTACTGACCTTGGCGTTCCGCCGCTCGCCTGGCGGGGGAAAGCCGTGTAGGCTCGGGTCTCCCACGAATCTAGAGGAAAAGCCCTTCCAGTCCTTGAAGTGAAATGGCGGGAAACCCCACTTGGTTAGATCGTTTGCGAACAGGCTGGGAAACGTGTGTCATTCTTGCCCGGGCCGGTGTGACTCAGTAGGTTAGGAGTCTCCGGGCGCCAGGAGGTTGCGGGTTCCATTCTGGGCAAAGGCTTGTGCCTGGGTTGCTGCCCCGGTGGGGGCGTGCAGGAGGCAGCCCATGAGGTTGCGCTTTTACATCTATGTTTTTCTACCCCTGCCCCCCACTAAAAATCAACTGTTCCTTTTTTTAAAAAAAAGCTTTTCTTAAACTTGATTTGGGTGGTGTGTCTGTAGCTGGGACTTGAGGGAGGCAATCCTGTTTGTGTCCTGGTTAGAAAACTCAGGATATTTCTACCATCATATAGGGTGTCTATCCTCCCTCTCCCTTCCTCTCTCCCTAAAAAAACCAATAAAAACACATTTAGCCTTAGCTGGTTATTTTCAGTGAATAGCAGTGGTTCTCAACCTTCTGGCCCTTTAAATACAGTTCCTCGTGTTGTGACCCAACCATAAATTTATTTTCGTTGCTACTTCATAACTGTAATGTTGCTACTGTTATGAATCGTAATGTAAATATCTGATATGCAGGATGGTCTTAGGCGGCCCCTGTGAAAGGGTCCTTCGACCGCCAAAGGGGTCGCGACCCACAGGTTGAGAACCACTGGAATAGAGCATTGGCCTGCTGACCAGAGGGTCCCAGGTTCGATTCTGATGTTTCTCCCTCGTTGATGTTTCTATCTCTATCCCTCTCCCTTCCTCTCTGTAAAAAATCAATAAAATATATTAAAAATAAAAAATAATAAATAAAAATGTTCTCAAGGATATCTCCTACACCAAAATGAACTAGACCAGGTAGTTCCAGAGTGTAAAACTACTTTGAAAAAATCCCAGCTTCTTTTTGAAATATGATCCTAATCCTGTTATCAGAACCTAACAACTGTAACACTAGAAGGAAATCTTTAGATCATATTTTATAACTACAAATGCAAAAATTCTAAATGAAATAGGAGCAACTTTACCCAGTAGCCTCCATACCATAAGACTTGCAAGAGAGAACAGTTTGTGTTGTATAACTCTATATTATTCATCTTAACCAATTTACCCACCTTCCCTCCCCCTCTAGAGCTTACAGGAAGATAATTTCATCACTATAATCCTTTTCACTCAATCACAACCAGTAGCTCCAGGTCATCCATCATTTCCCTGATTAGCATCTCCATGCCACCCTCTACTTTTATTACCCCAACCATCCTCAGCATCTCATTCTGTACTTTAGATTTCAACATTTGTTTTCAGTCATTTCCCCTTTATTCTCACCTCTAAATGTTCTCATCAACTTCCTGTTCCAACTGAAAACTGGTTGATCACCTAGCAAAACCACCTCGCTAGCAACTTATCAAGTACAAAGAGCATTTTCCCTCACATAGGTATTCTTATCTTAGAATCTGCTTCTCATATTGCTTCCAAATCATTTTTCCTCCTTCCTCCTTCAAAAACCCAAGCTCTTTTAAAGTTAATGCCAACTGGCACTACAATAAGATCCTTGGTAATGCCCCCTTTTGTTCATGGCTCACTGTCTTAATTTCTTCTACTATTCTTGTCACTTCTCAGCCACTTTATTTTTCATACTAGAGGCCTGGTGCACAAAATTTGTGCATGGGGGGGAGGGTAGTGTGTGGCTCTCAGCCCAGCCTGCACCCTCTCCATTCTGGGACCCCTCGAGGGATGTCCAACTGCCCATTTAGGCCTGATCCCAGTCGGACATCCCTCTCACAATCCAGGACTGCTGGCTCCCAACCGCTTGCCTGCCAGCCTGATTGACGCCTAACTGCTCCCCTGCTGGTCTGATTGCCCCTAACTGCTCTCCCCTGCAGGACTGGTCCCCTCGCAACTGCCCTCTCCTGTAAGCCTTGTTCCTCCCTACTGCCCTCCTCTGCCGGCCCGGTCCCCCCTAACTGCCCTCCCCTGCAGGCCCGGTCCTCCCCAACTGCCCTCCCCTGCAGGCCTGGTCCCCCCCACTTGCCTTCCCCGACTGGCCTGATAGCCCATAACTGCCCTCCCCTGCCGGCCATCTTGTGTGTTGGGGTGATGGTCAATTTGCATATTACCTCTTTATTAGCTAGACTTTTCCACATTCTCCATCCAACACCCACCCTGGCTTCTCAGTTCCTTATCATGGTGAAGTGGCTTTGCTATTACTGTTAAAGACAATCCCTCCATTTGTGTTCTGGATCCTTTATCCTGTCTCCTTCTTGTGAGCTTTGCTCCACCAATTACCCCTTCTTGCTCCTATTTCATCAATTTCTCCTGTTTCTACTGGGTCATTTCCATCTGTGTACAACATATTCAAGTTTCTTTTTAACAAAAAGTATAAAAAGTACCTTAACACCTATCCTATCCCATTTTTCTGCTCCCCTTAATAGGAAAAACTTTTCAAAGAGTTGGCTCTAGCCCTGACCGGTTTGGCTCAGTGGATAGAGCGTCAACCTGTGGACTGAAGGGTCCCATGTTCGATTCTGGTCAAGGGCATGTACCTTGGTTGTGGGCACATCCTCAGTAGGGAGTGTGCAGGAGGCAGCTGATCGATGTTTCTCTCTCATCGATGTTTCTAACTCTCTATCCCTCTCCCTTCCTCTCTGTAAAATATCAATAAAATATATTTTTTTAAAAAAAGAGTTGGCTCTATCTGGAAGCTGCTTCCAATTCCTACCTCAAAACTTCTCCTTAACCCAATCCAATCGAGAAACCATCCCCATCATGTCACTAAAACTGTTTTTATGATATAACCCGACCTCTCTGTTTCCAAATCTAATGATGACTTTCCTGTTTTTACTAACTTCTGTCCCAAATGAAGCAGAAAGTGGAAACATTGTTTCCTTCTTGAAACTTAATTGCAAGTTAAACCATTGCTTCTTTTTTTTTCTTTTTTAAAATATATTTTTATTGATTTTAGAGAGGAAGGGAGAGGAAGGAAGAAGAAGAGAAACATCAATGATAAGAGAGAATCATTGATTGGCTGCCTCCTACACGCCCCTGACCAGGTGGGGATTGAGCCTGCAACCTTGGCATTTGCTGGCCTGGGAATCGAACAGTGACCTCCTGGTTCATACATAGGTCGATGCTCAACTACTGAACACACCAAGAAGAGATAACATCTATTTAGTGCTTCTTTCTTTATTTTTTTTTTATTGCTTAAAGTATTACAAAGGGTATTACATATGTGTCCTTTTTTCCCCAGCCCTTGACAATCCCCTGGCCTCCCCTACCCGCCAGTGTCTTATGTCCATTGGTTATATGCATGCATGTAAGTTCTTCGGTTGATCTCCTACCCCCTCCTTCTGCCCCCCTACCCTCCCTGGCCTTCCCGCTGCAGTTTGACAGTCTGTTTGAGGCAGCTCTGCCTCTGTGTCTATTTTTGTTCATAAGTTTATAATCATCTTTATTATCCATGAATGAGTGAGATCATGTGGTATTTTTCCTTCATTGACTGGCTTATTTCACTTAAGTGCTTCTTTCTTGAAACTTCTCTTGATTTATGAGACCACACTATACTAGTTTTCTTCCTACTTCATTGACTGACCACCCCTTCTCATTTTCCCTGATTTTTCCCCGCCATTGATATATAATTGATTTCAGAGAGGGAGAGGGAGAGAGATAGAAACATCAATGATGAGAGAGAATCATTGATCGGCTGCCTCCTACACACCTGATAACTGGGATCGAGCCTGCAACCCAGGCACGTGCCCTTGACTGGAATCAAATCTGGGACCCTTAAGTCTGCAGGCTGATGCTTTATCCACTGAGCCAAACCAGCTAGGGACCCTGCTTGACTTTAGATTGTTGGGAGTACCCAGGGCTTTGTCATGAGTGCTTTTCTCTACCTACACATGGTGTAGGTAACACCATCCAGGACCATAGTTCTAAAAACTACCTGGGGATGGCTCCCAAATTTATATCTCTAGTCCTAAACTTTACCTGGATCCCAAATTCTATATGCAACTGGAGGACTTGACAGCTCCACACTGATGTCTGATGGACATTTCAATTTAACATGGTCAAAACAAACTCTTGATTTTGTAACCTATCCTTTTTAACAAAATGCTGAGTTACTTTTCAGAGATAACAGGCAAAAATCCCATGTCTTGCAGCTGAAGCATGCCCATAACACATACACACATACATATCACATTTTTTATTCATTCATCCATTGATATACACTTAGTATGTTACCTCATCCTGGCTATTGTAAATAATGCTGTAATGAACTTGGTGGTGCATATAGCTTTTTCTTTG